TCTCCGCTCCCTGGGGCTGAGGCAGCTGCAGGGAAGCGAGGATGGTTTGGGAAGGGCTCCCAGCCCTGGGGACTCTGCAGAGCCGTGGGTTGTGCACAAGAAATGGGGCTGCAGCCCCTCCAGGAGCACATCTCCTCCCCTGGTCAGTGAGGGACCCCAAAGCTGAGGCACATCCCAGGACACCACGGTGGGACTGCCTCTCCCTCCCAGCTCTGGGGTTGGAAGGGGGTCCAGGTGTTGGGTGCCACCACCTCGCTGGGGAGGGAACATGGAGGCCCCCGGCCCCCAGCAGAGGCTGAGTGGGGACCACCTGCTTCCCATCCCATTGGATCCCAGTACCTTTGACCCCAGCCCCACAAAGGCACCAGCAGGCACCTGCTGCCAGGCAGAGTGAGGTCTTGTGCCTGCTGGATGCAATGGCAATTTTGAGAGAGGAACGCCGGGACCTGCAGCAGTTCTGGCAGCAGGTGAAGATCCAGCAGCCGCTCACCATGCTGTGCCCACAGAGCGGCTCTGAAACCGGGCTCCTTTCAGAAAGGCCTGGAGCAATGAGATCCTCCTGCGGGACCCACCCTGTGCCCGACAACAGGCTCGGGTCTGGACTTGCTTGCTCACAATCCCGAAGGCAAAACAAGAGGAGCACCCACGCTGTGGATGGCCTGGGGGTCCCATGGGATCTGCCACCTCTCTGACATAGGAAGGAGTGGTCAGGCATGGGGACACGCTGCCTGGGGAGCGGTGGGGTCACCGTCCCTGGGGGGTCAGAGCCTTGGAGATGCAGCACTGAGGGGAGGGGTGGGGTGAGGTTGGGGATCTCAGAGGTCTTTTCCATTCTTAATGGTTGGAACCTCCATTCTGTGGGTCTGTGGGTGAGAAAATCCTTTCCAATGGGATCTGCTCAAAGTGGAGGGGCATCACTAAAGGCTTTGCGATGGGACGGCCAGGAAGGACCCCCTCCCCGACTCCTCCCCTCCCAGGATCTTCATCCCCCCGGGCTACCCCAGCTCTGGAGGCCAATGGAGCTCTGCCACCTCCGCCCCAGCAGACCTTTACCCCGAGGCTCTGGAGGAGAGCACAGCTGACGCATGAGCATGTCTCAGGCTCAGTGGGGTGTGCCGCTGCGCAGGGCACCGCCGGCCCCAACCCCTGCACATACACAGCTGGAAATTTCTGATGTTCGCGGCCAGTCATGGGATCCATCACTCAGACCCTGGGGCACACCTACACTCTCTGGGGCTGTACTTTTCCAGAAGCTTTGGAAGAGGAAAGCCCTATCCCACATGGCATGGATCACAGACATTTCATGGCACACCTCCCACCTCTGCTCCCCAACCCCTTCAGCCAGGAACAGCCACAGCAGGGTGATGTTACCTTCCATCATCCATGTGTGGTGGTCCAGCCATCCCTGTGGGTCCCTTCCAACTTGGGATTTCTATGGTTCTAAGAGTCCCCATCCCCCTTCCTGCCCCATGGCAGGACTCCCTTGGCAGGACTCATGGCTTTAGGGCCCACACATCTTCAAAGTGTGGCAGAAATCTCCTGGGATTGCTTTAGGCACCAAAGCCAACCTGCCCCTCACATGGGGCCCTCAGGACCTGCCCCCTCATTCCTGCACTTTCCAATGACTTCGTTTGCAAGTTGCTGCAGTGCCAGGCTCCATGGCATTGTGGTGGATAACAAAGGGTAGAGTTGGCCATGAAACAAGAATGCAGTGAACATTTCTTTTTGTTTTATAGTGAGACAGAACTGGGATCTTTGATGGAAGTGTGGAGGGAAGGAAAGGGAGACAAGAAGACCAGTGCCATCCTTCTGGGGATGCCAGGGGCCATTCAATCCTCATCTGGGCAGCCTGTGGTCTGCCATTTTCTGCAGGAGGGGGAATCTCTGGGCAGGGAATGTGAGATGGGGAGGATTCAGCTCCACATCTGATCTTGAGGATCATGGACACGTGGCCAGCCGGAGCCCCACATGTGTAGGGCAGAGCCTCAGCCTTGGGGGCACAGCAAACAGAATGTGGGGCAGAGGAACCAACCCCATGGGTGGGTGGGATGGGAAGGTTTGGCAGCACTGGCAAGGGGAAGGTGGGTGAGGGCTGGGGGGACCCATGATGTGCCACAGTGGTCCCGGTGCCCTGCAGTGCCCCCCGTGCGCCCGGCTGCTGGCAGCCTGCTGCCTCTGGTTCCAGGCAGCCACCGCTTCCCCGTTCCGACAGCGGGAACAGCCACCCTCTTGTTTAACAACCAAACAGCCCAGGGTTGAACAGAGGAGTTACCATCAGCTCTGCTGGGTGAGCCAGACACCCCCGGGGCAGCTGCTGCTGGCAGCAATTAGGCAAGGAACCCCTGAGCTGCCAGGTGGGGAGAGTGTGGTCTGTGAGCCCCAGCGATGGCTGTAACCTGGGGAAGAGGGATGCAGCCCCACAGGTGCCCACCCAGCCCTGAAGCCGGCAAGACCTCCCACAAACCCCCAGCACCACGTCCCACCTGCTGCTGTAGAGCACAAGTCAGCCCTTCCCTCCTCATTACTCTCCTTTTGTATAACTGTTCCACACCCTTACAGCATGTCCCCTCTTTCCATCCCCTAAAGCTGCTAAGCCCTAAACCACAAGGCTCTTTCCAGGACCGCAATGCAGTCAGCAGCAAACCACTCTCCTCCCTTGTGCAGCAGGGAGGGGCTTTCCCACACAACACCCTTGCACCTCACTTGTACCCAATACAGGGACATCTGTCCCCAGGCACGGCAATCCCCAGTGCTATCCCCGTGCTCAGCTGCTTTCAGCTCAGCTCAGGGGTATCATAGAATCATTAAGGTTGGAAAAGACCACTAAGATCATCTACTCCAACCGTCAACCCATCCCACCATGCTCACGCATACAGACTGGATGCCCCCAGGTGTGTTTATGCCAGCTGAGCTGGTAGCCTGACCCACAGCTGGAAAAGCACCCAAAGCAATGGGGCAGCCCAAATGGCACAGCATTGACTGTGTTCTTGGCAAAGTGTGGGAGCTCTGCAGCCTGGTTCTGTCCATGCCAAACCACACATAGCTACAACTTGCCCTGGAACCCGGCAGGTTTTAGCCTGGGTTGCATGAAGTAAGCCTGGGGCTGGTCAGGGACTGGAGTGAAATGCAGCAGGGAGAGTGCTTCTTATCAGGGCTGCAATAAATGTCTCACAGCTTGGTTCCCAAGGCTTTTCACCAGATGTTTCCAGCAGGACCAAACCTTATTAGCTTTACACACCTTTTTCTTTCTGCAGGCTTGCTCCCAGAATCCAAAGGGCTCATTCCCACCTGGACAAAGTGCCCCACGAAGAAGGGCACCAGAGAAACGTCCCACCACAGAGAAGCAGCCACAGCAGTGTGCTCTGGGAACAAGGGTCCAGGCGAGAGCTGCCAGGGCCAACCACTCTCGTGTTCCCAGCTGGGATCAGGGGTCCCCCCATCCCAGTGGGTTTCTCAGAGGACAGAACCCCATTTTACTGCACCACCTCGAAGGCTGATGAAGGCATTTCCGTGGGAGTTGCCTGTCAGCCCTGTGTTCCGCCTGGGACCACCTGGTGGGAACAGTTCTGGTGCACAGGTAGAAAATGCTTTATTTCTATTCACCACGGTTTCCCACAGCCGTGGGATCCGGGCACCTCCTGTGAGATGAGCAAAAAAAACGCTCAGATAAATCATCTCCTTTTCATGCCAGAGGCTGTGCCGGGTTGGCACAGCGCGGGCGTGGAGGTCACGGCAGAGGTTTCCATGAGTGTGTGTTTGTGTGCACGCACGGAGTGACCTCACCGCCCCCTTCCATCCTCGGACCACGACAGGAGATGCAGGACCGTGTGCCCCATCCCATAAACACGCAGCCCTGCTCTGCCCCCTCACAGCCTGCAGTGGCACGGGGCCATGGGGAGGATGGACCCAAGTGGGGTGGCAGTGGGGACACGGCGAGGCGAGGCAGACGGGGTTCCTGCTGTTGCCAAGGGCTGGTTAAACATTGTCCCGAGCTCGTTAGGTAACACAAACCGCAGCGGGAAAGAAATGAAACTGCTTGAGCAAACAGGGCGCGCTTGGCAAGGCAGCGGGCTGCGTGACAAAGCGCTGCGCTCTGCCTGCCAACCTGCTGGGGTTATCTATGGAGGGAGAATAAACACCTCGCCCACAGCCCTGAGCTCCCCGCCAGGGATGGCGGCGCAGCACAGCTCCCGGCTTCTCATCACCGCCCCACTCCCCAGTGCCACTGCCGTGGTCCCGTGCTGCACGCGGTGTTTGGGCATCCCGAGCATCTCCCTGCCTCCCGGCGCAGCCTGAGGTCAGGATGGGCCCCGAGCAGCCAGGAGAGAAAAACCCGTTCCCAGTGCTGGGTTGCGTAAGGAGCTCTGCCGGAGCGCTGATGGCTGCAGCCCAGCTCACATCCACATGTGGGACATCTCCTCACCTCAGCAGGGGGTCCCATCTCAGTGTGTGCACTCGGGGCTGCAGCCCAGCGGGATATGAGGGCGGCCTTTCCTTCTCATCTGTCATTTTGTCATCTCCAGGATTTTGTCTGACTGCAAATTCCCTCTTGGGATCTCCTACTGGGGGGGCTCAGCAGCTCAGCAGAGGTGTGGGTGTCCGGGGCTGTGGCCATGAGGAGCCTGGGAGTGACACCTTGCAGCAGGGCCTGTGGTTCTTCCATCCCCAAATCCATCCTTGCTGCAAGGCACAGCCCCACCTGCAAGCTGTGGCCACACACTGGGGCAGCTCCAGCTCCTGCAGGCAGCACAGCCCAGGCAGCTGGCACAGATGCTGTGTATGACACCTTACACACAAGGCACCTTGCAACTTTGCAAGTGCCATAAGGGCAATCCCTAGCCGTGCTGTGCCTCTGGCAGCGAGGGAGGGAACAACAGTCAGTCCCCTGCTAAAATGCACTTCTGAGCCCTTGCTAGGATCCCCAGGGGCATTTCAGAGTCCAGTCCCAACTTCACCTTCAACAAAAGCAGTCACGATAAGACAGGGTTACAAAACCCCAACCAGACAACAGTTTATTCCTCTGACATTCCCAGCTCAAAAGGAGGGATCTGTGGGTGCCTGGTGGGTCGGCATCTCCCTCCCAGGGCTAACACAGTTCCAGCCTGTGCCCCCTGACATCACTTCAGTCCAGCTGAGCATCACCTCCCGTGAGCAATGCAGGACACGTATTTGCCCCACAGTGCACACCATCACGCAAGAATGCCTTACACATGAAAAAATATATCTGTATATTCGTTTTCTCTTACATAAATTAGAAGCTACTCTTAGGGAAAAAGCCTGTTCCTGGGGAGCTGGGCTGGAAACACAGCCAAGCCCTGGTGAACTCAGTCCTTGGGCGCTCTTTGGACTCACTGGGATCGGGTAAAGCTCTGCAGTGTTCCCGTCTTCTCGTGGCAGACATTGCTCTGAGATGCTGCACAGAGGGGCTTCACCCATCCCACAGGAGCAGGTGGCTGGGACAAGTCACGGGTGGGTGCCAGCAGGAACCTGCTGCGCCATCACATCAGTGCCTAATGCCACTCATTCTTCTCTTCCCATTGTTCTTGTCCAGGCTTTGAAACAGACGAAGTCCCAAAGTCACTGCCTCTCCAGTTGGAGGTACAAATCCAGCAAGAGAAATAATGGTTTACAATAACCTACTGGAGCCAAAATATTAGCTTTAAACACCTTGGTGCTGGTGGACACCAGCACACACACGAATGTGCCCACACAAGGCTCGGAGTGCCACGTGCTGCATGGGGCAGCATCTTCCAGTCCGTCTGCACAAAAAACTCCTGCCAAGGAGCTAGGGCTGATCCGGGGCTCCTACAGCTCCTTGTTCCTGTTGAGCACCTCCTCCTCCTTCCATCCGCTGGAGTTCTTCCCAAACTTGTAGACCAGGCGACGTCCATCGACCCTCTCCAAGATCTCCCGTTTGTAGTAATATCTGCAGGGGACAGAGGCGGGCTCAGGGCTCGGGGCTCTGGATGCAGCCCTCACGTTGGTGTGTGGGCAGTCCCCCTCCCTGGAGGGGACATGAGGGGCACTCACCGCATTGCTCGGCTCAGCTTCTCGTAGGTCATGCTGCTGTTCTTCTTCTTCTGCCCCCAGAGCTGAGCCACCGCCTCGGAGCGCAGGAACTTGAAGACACCCTCGCGTCGGTCCTCCCACTTCATCAGCCCCTCGTTCAGCTCGGGGTGGATCAGGATGTCACGGATGAACTCCCACAGGTGAGTTCCTCGTGGGGCTGAAAAGAGACCGAGCTGTTAGGGGAGGGGTCCTCCTGCCATGGGCACAGCCAGCAGGCACCGTGCTGCCCCTCATGTCCTGCCCAGGAGCCAGCAGGGTTAGGGCTAAGGTGAGGTTAGGGCTGGGTTAGGACGTACAGTGCTTACTTTTCCGACCCTCCAGGCACTCTCTGCTGTCCTTGCTGAGTTTTCGAGGCCGGCCCCGTTTCCGCTTGCCGTGTTTACCATCCCCTTTCTTGCTGCCTGCAAAGTCATTTGCGCACCAACAAGGGGACATGTTAATTACCTGTGGATTGCAGCCCCTCACCCTGGGCTCAGAGACACCTGCCAGGGGGAGAGCTGGCTGGGGATAGCAGGAGCAGGGGCTGCACCCTCTTCACAAGCCTGTTCTGTAGAGCAGAGTCTTCCCATTCCATCCAGCATCGTCCCTTCCTCCTCCCACCAAGATCCCCACTGCCCCAGCTCTGTTCCACCATCCCCATGCACCACCACCACTCTCAGTGGGGAGAAACGTGCCCAGGGTACAGAGAAAACCCATCCCAGTGGGGCAGGCAGATGCTCCTAGATCATTGCCTGGCTCTGCTCCTCCAGAAGATGGGAAGCAGCCACGCTCTGCTCTCCCAGCAACTCACCCTCAGGAAAAAGCTTTGCTTCCATGGGATCGAGGTCGAGGTCGCTTCCACCGGAGTCCTGGGAGTTTGGACTGTGGGACATCACGGGTCCTGGGGGGCACAGGGACGGGGCTCAGATCGTGGCTCTTTGCAGCATGAGGTGCTTCCCTCTAGCTCTGCCCCCTCCTCCCAGCATCAGCCAGGAATGGAGCCACACTTGGTGCTCTCTCAGCTCTGTGCGAGCAAAGGGAGCTCTCAGCCAGGTAAAATTCTATGACCCTATGAAAGCACTGACCTGAGAGGTCAGAGCTGCCTGGGGACATGGCGCCGGACAAGCAGGTGAAGTCTGTGGCGAGGAAAGGGTTTGTGGGCTTCAGGTCCTCCAGGGAGTCCTTGGCACAGGGATTGCCGAGCTCTGGAGGAGGCAGAGAAGTGAAGAAGAGGGTGAGCCCTTCCTGCACCACTTGTGGCACTGGGGAAAAGCCTGTGGCCCTCCTCGTACCCAGGTGGCTGCTGTCCAGGGAGGTCTCTTGGGAATCTGCATCCTCTTTCTCCAGCAGCTCAATGATCCAGCTCAGCTCATCAGAGGCTGCAGGGTTCCAGGGAACAGGGATTAGCGATGCTTGTTCAGCACAGTGGGGAACAGAGCCCAGCCCTTTGGGCCTTTCTCTGTGCCCCCACCCTGGGCTGGCATGGGGGTCTTGGCCTCACTCTGTGAGCTGCCAGACCTGGGGACTGAGGGCACAGGGGGACACTCACTGATCTCATGCAGGCGGTCATACAGCTCATCCCCCAGCGGCCCAAATATGAGGCGCATCTGGTCCCTGGTGCAGTGGCAGAGCGCGTGCCCATCCATGTTGCAGCAGGAGAAGTCAATGGAGCTGGCATCGTACTTGTTCTTCTCCACATGGTAGCTGATCCACTCCAGCACCTGCACCTTGGTCCAGAAGTATGGGAGCTCACCGAACCACTCCGGCTTGTCTGTAAGGGATAGAGAATGAGACTTAGTGTAGGGCTGGGCTCCTGAGCCGGTCCCACAGGCACAGTGTGTTATATGGGGCTGCCATCACACCTTGTGCCAGCTGAAGTACCCTCCAGCCGAAGTACCCTTGGGGAAACTGAGGCACGACACAAGCCTTAACCTGTCCCAGTGGGACTGTGTCCTTGCAATGCTCTTCCAGCACCACCTCATTTATGCTCTATGTGCTGGGCACCCCACCTGCATGCCACCACCACTGCACCCCACCGCCGCTGTGCCCCATCCCACCTGTACCCTCTGCCAGGGGTTGGCTGGTGGAGAGGCTCAGCCCCATGCTGCTGTCCTCCCCGGGGCATCCCAGCACATCCGGGGGCAGCTGCACCTCCTCGGGTTGGTACATGGCGCTGATGTAGTTGGAGAAGATGTTGCTGATCTCACAAGATGCTGCCATCAAGCTCTGTGACGAGAGGTGACAGTGAGCCCTGGCACCAGGGACCCAAACCCACAGCGCCCGCTGTAACCCCACAATCTCTGTGCCTCCATCTGGCACTGCCACTGCTGAGCCCCCCACCCAGTGCTGCACTGATAGCCACTGGGGCTGAGCCATAGCAGGATGAGGACACGGCATCCTCCTCACCAAAGCCCCTTCCCCAGCACCTATCCCTGTGCGCAGCACAGGGACGGCAAGCAGGTGGTCCCACTGTCGGCGAGACAGCCCCTCCATGGGGACGGATGTTGCAGGACCATCAAATGCTCCCTAGCCCAACAGATGCCCCACAAGCAGGGCCATCCTCCAAGTTGGTACAAGAAGCAAATCCCATCAGCTGCAGGGCTGCGAGGCCACAGTGGAAGAGTTGCATCCTGCTGGTCGCCTGGAACCCACCGCCTCGCTGCTCCCCAAAAGGCAGCGATGGGAAAACCAGCGTAGAGCCAGAAAGCACCGAGCGCGTCCCCAGCACACACAGAGGGAGCAAAGCGGCCGCCGGGGCTGGGGGATGTCCCCACCAGAGAGGAAAATCCTGGGTACCTTCTGCGATGTAATCCCTGGGCAGCGGCTAATCCAGAGAGCAGCGAGCCCTGCCCGCCGCCACGCACGGCTGCGCCGATGGGCAGATCCTGCCCTGCCTTCTCTCTTTTATAGCACGCGTGGCGTAACGCGATCTGGAGGCCGGAGGGGAATTCCAGCCCTGAAACGTTCACGCTCCCTGATCCAGGTGATTTGCATAATATGAACCATCAGCCCCAGCCCAGCGCTGCCTTGCCGGGAAATCTGGGTTGGCCAGTTTAATCATTGTCAGAGCCTCGGACGGCGCTGCCCGGAGTTTCACCCACACCGGCTGTGCGGGTGCTGCTCTCGGCCGCCGCTCGCGGTTGTTTGCTCACAGCAGTGGGTTCACCTCCGTCCTGCTGTCAAGAAACGTGCCCAGGAGGGGCAGACCAACCCCAGGGCTGCAGATCTCACCTGGGGGCAATGCCCAGGGAAACGTGCCTCCACCATCCCTTCACCGAGGAGAGGGCAGCGGGTGCCTGTAGGGTGCTCAGGTGTGGCCATGCCCCGTGCTGGGTCACTCACTGGTGACTACGCGTGGCAGATCTGGGAGCGGGTTGTCTGCCTGGGAATGGAGCCCAGGGCTGGTGGCCAAGCATCGCTGCTCTTCATGTTGTCGTGGGTCACTTTTTGGCTGGGGTGGACGGTGAACCTGTGCCAGCCCATTTGTTGCCGTTTCACAAGTGCCTGTGCACTGGTACACGTGTACACGCAGGGCAGGACTGAGGGATGCATGTGGGGAATTACCTTCTGCCCAGCCCCCAGCAGCTGTATTTGGGACCCAGGCTGGATGTGCTCCTGCTGGGTTCAGCCCTGTGCTGGCAGTTGGGATCTGTGCCCTGGGATGCACCCAAGCCTCCATCCTGGCACCCACCTGCCTGGTGCTGCCCCTGCCACATCTGAGTGCTGGGATGAGGGGGGACCCCAGCAGGCTCTCCCTGCTACTCACTTCAAACCAGTGTGCGAGGTATGATGGCGACAGAGCGGGGTAAATATGAGAGCCCTCCTCCAGCCCAGCGAGGGCAGGTGGCTGCGTGCCCATCCCTCATGTCACGTCACCCTGCCCTGCTGTGCCATGTCGTGGCCCTGGGCAGCAGGGCCAGAGTGCGACCCAGGAGGCACTGAGCCACGCGAGCTGAGCACCTGCCCAGCTTCATTCCTGCAGGCACAGTCACGAGTGCTGGGCGCTGCCAGTCCCTTTTGTTTCCCAGGCACAGCATCCTGGTGCCTGGCAGCTGCCCCAGCATCGTGGCCAGGTGGCACCGATGGAACACTGAGCTGCAGTACTGGTGGGCACAGAGCAACCCGTGCTGAACCTACCTGCACAAATTCCCTGCTGCAAACATTCTGACCAGTTTGACTCTTTCCTCTATTCCTCCTGGCCTCAAGATTTCAGCAAGGCCACAGTGGGGGTGAGACAGAGCACCTGCAGCAGGGTCACGGCTCTGCGGGGTCCTGCAGGGAGCACAGTGTGCTGTGAGCCTGGCCTTTGTGTCGTGCTGGGGTGACAAAGAAGCGTCCACGAGTTTGGGGTGAGCTGCCGACACGATGCCAGCGAGGTGCGTGGGTGACGGCAGGCAGGAGATCGATGTCCCTGCTGTCACCTGCCCTGCTGGAAGAAGCTGAGCCCGCAGTGCCCCACATTTGTGACCCACTGACGCCACAACCCCGGCGTGGGGCACAGCGCGGTGCCAACATCGTCACTCTGCGGGCACTGCAGCGCGGCCACAGCTCAGGGGGCCCCAGAACGGGTGGGGACGGAGGGAGGCACCTCGCAACATCCCCGCAAAAGGCCCCGCACCACCGCCGCCCGCCGTCCCCGCACCGCAGCCCGCGCTGCCACCTGGCGGCGGTCTCCGCACCACGGCCGGGGGGTTGGGGGCGGGGGGTTCCAGCAGCCGGGCTGCCCCCAGGGCGGGGCAAACGCGGTGGCACTTAGAATTGGACGGAGCAGCCGGAAGGGTCCCATCAGGGCTGACCTGAAGTTAAAGCAACGCATTCGGGGCGTTGTCCAAATGCCACTCGGACACTGACGGGCTCAGGGCATCCACCACCCCCCGCAGGGTCCGTGCCAGCGTTGGACCACCCCCATGTGTGGTAACGTGTGGTAAAGACGTGTTTCCCAGCCCCGTCCGAGCCCTCCCTCGCATCCATCATCAGTTAGGAACAGCTCTGTGCCATTCCCCTGCTTGGGAAGCCACAACGAGCAATGGGACAGATTCTCAGCGCATTTCCTGCAGCTCGGACAACCCGGGGATCCTCAGCCTCTCATACAGGATGTACCTCGCAGCTCTTACCAGCTTTGTTGCCTCCTCGGGTTGCTTTCAAGGACCTTTCCGTAGGGTGGAGCGCCCCAAAATGCATTTTGCCCATATTGCCCAGGCACAGCGCCGGCTCACTGAGCCCAGGCAGCAGCTCAGGCACATCCCAGAGGCACGGGACACCCCTGCAGTCCCTGAGGGCCCGGTTCCCATGTGGTCACTTCCTCACAGCTCCCAGGGCACGGCCAGAAGGACAGGATGCGCACCAGGACGGGCGGCTTCCAGCTCTGTTCTTCCCCATAACAGTCATCACTGCTTTGTCTCTTCCTTTCAGTACGCTTTATTTGTGAAGACAAAGAGGCAAGGAACAAACACATCCATTGGGAAAAAATCCAAACAAACGTACATCATGAGACTGAAATAAGTTACACTATTTACAGGAACACATCGAGGTATAAAATATTTGTACACACCTTGTTCTCTGACAAACCCAGACCGCAGCGCTGGGCTGCGCCACCCAGCAGAGACAAAAAAAAGCCTTCACAAACAGGAGTTGGCCTCTGTACAACAGCTCCGAGCAAGAAAAGGCACCTGCTGCTGTGCCAGTTGTGCAGCGGGATGGGCTGATGGAGCAGGCGGTGCAGCGCAGGGAGCACAGAGCAGGGTGGCTGTGGGATGCGGAGCAGTGAGCAGATAAAGGGGCAGAGCTGCTCCACTGGGAATGTGGACAAAGCCCCGGAGCGGCAGGCAGGCAAAGGGCGATGCTTTGCTGGGGACAAGGCCTGGGGGGAGTGGGACTGTGCTGGGATCCCTCCCAGCTGGAGTGGGAGCACCACAGGGTGTGAGCCCTGCGGGACCGGCAGGGTGATGCTGCCTGCAGGATGGAGCGAAGCAGCAGTGAGCAAGGCAAGGGGACAAGTGACAAGTGCTCTGTGGGATCGTACCTGGACCCCATCCAGTGCGGGATGGGAGGGCACCCTGGGAGCAGAATGCCGACACAGGGAGCCCAAAGCAGCTGTGCTTGGAGGTGCTGGGGAGGAACAACGTACCCTTGTGCTTCTCGCAGCTGGCTGGGCTGGGGACAGCCCTACAGCCTTGTCTTTTGTGCTGGGAAAGCTGCAGCTCCCTGGGGGGGCTCACAGTGGTTTGGGGGCCTGAAAATTTGGGCTTCTGAGTCAACTCCATCCCTTCTGTGCAAAGCTCAGCTCCAGGCAGTGCTGCGCCCTCAGCAGAGTGTGAAGCTGGCCCCCATGTGCTGGGAGGAGGAGATTCAGGAGCAAAAGGCAGAGCCTAGGAACAAAAAGTCCCCCACCTCTCAGCAAGGGAAGGAGCTCCCAGGACAGCAGCTATCATCCCCATGCTTGGCACAAACAAAGGCACCGAGGGAGAAGCAAAACGAGGTGCAGAGAGGCTCAGAGACCACAAAAAAGCAGTGCAAGTCCTGAGCCCCAAAGAAGCACCCAGCACAGTGCGAAAGGACGGACCCCATCTGCACCCCAGCCCTTAACCTTCACCCTCTGTGTCCAAAACCCACAGTCCCAGCCGGGGCCTGCAGTTACTGCACCCTGGGGCCTGGAACAGATGGCAAAATGGGCAAGTGCCTGCCCACAGGCAGAGGCAGGGCAGCCAGCAGCAAGGGAAGGAGCTGAAGGACCAGAGGCCAAGGGGCCACACTTGCTGGACTTCAGGTGGGGTGGGACTTTGTGCTTTAGCATTCGGGGGACCTGCCCCCCCCAGTCTGACAGCATGGCTCAGAGCTGCCCCCCCACAGCTCCCAGTGCTGGGGAGCAGGGCAGAGCCCCGTGCCAGCTTCCTAGGGCTGTCCAGTGCCTGGGACAGGATCTAGATTGAACTACGTTTTGGGGACAACAACTCTAACAGCACCTTTGAGATTCAGTTCATCTCAGACTGCCTCCATCTCGGGCAGAGGCTGTTACAGCACCAGCTGCCTGCTGCTACCACATCACAGCAGGTTCTGGAACACAGGGACTAGGACCAGCCCATTCCAATAACGTGCCCTGCATAGCATTGCCCGGACAAGAAGAGCTTCTTTGCACCCACAGCAAATATCTGTGGGAGCAGAGGCAGGAACACAGGCTGAGCTCAGCCCTACAGAGGGACCCTTCCGTCCTTCAGAGGAACCACCACCCTCAGGCTGCACATCAACCCAATGCCTAAGAGCAAAAGCACAGAGCCCTGTGCCGAGCAACAGGAGGAAACAGGAGGGGCTCAGAAACACAGCAAGGTGCAGTGAGGCTGTGCATCTTTGGGACAAACTCAAGTGTCAAATCCATAACAGCAATGGCCAAAGGAATGCAAACAAACAAAAACCCCTCAAGCTCCCCAGCCCACCCCCAAATGAAATCAATGACAACAGCACCCAGCTTGCACCATGAGGTAGCTAAACCAAATCAACACCCCCCAAAAAAAATTCACTCTTCCACATGGGAAATACCAACCCACACAGGTACTTAGACACCAATGCCTATGGTACACCCAGCTACAGTCACACAAGTGCAGACACACACATCCCAGTGAACAATAACAGGCTGAGAGGGCAGCACTGCCTCCACCGCCCAGTGCTGTGCGTCACGGGGCAGCCGTGGGGCCTCTGAGCCTTTCTGCCCACCCCCAGCCCCACAGCACAGGGCTCAGCTGTGACCCAGGAGCAGTCACCATCCTGTCCTGGGCAGG